AAGCTCCCCAATATGGGATAGCAGACTGAAACGCACAGTCTGCTAGTAATCCCCGGACTACACACCCGTAAGCTCCGTAACGCCGTATTGCTGCGAACTAGTAATTCGGCGAGAGGAAAAACACGTCCGAATTCGTTAAAGGATTAATTAATCTCTTCGCAAGTGAAAAAAGTTGAATATTTTTATTTCCTATCGAACAATATTTGTCATTTTTATTACGCGGAGTATTCCCATCAACACATTATCTCCAAAGCCCCGTTCTGGTGTAGATAGCCGTGTAATATGCTAATAAAACACACCCGGGTTTGGATGCTGGGTGATACGTCACGTATAACGAGAAATCACAGTGCGTACATGGGCACAGATGTAACCACTTGTATGCGCCGTTACGTTTGATGCGTCGTCGTTAGGATGTTACTAATCACAGAAACTCACACTCTCCGCGGCGCTGTATGCGTTAAATGCGCCCATTAACCGCTGAAATGGCCGTAATGTTCTACTAGGTAGGTGTTTACGGCTACCTTGAGTGGCGAGTCGTACGGATGGCACATGCGGTGATCGTGACAAACTTCCTCTATAGTACGCAACCGCATGGGTGGCCCCACACAGCGTGCTCCCTCACAGAGTATTTTAACAACAAAACAGTGCGACACTCACAATGACACGGGTACCAAAGGAGGCTGGTTTAGACAAAAGGCGAGGTAACACGACAGTAAGTTGTGTGGAGTGACAAATAAATATACCCGGTAAAATACACTCTGACCGCATTAAAGAATGAAAGTCGGAATACAAAGAATTGATTTTACATAAAAAAAAAGACGGCCACATGGCGCTGTTGACTTAGAAGTATAAACAGATGAACAGTGGTAATGTCTTAAGGTGTTTTCCATTATTCGAAAAAGTATGAAATCACCATGGCTACCTTATAATTCAGGACTACACATTTGAATTGAGAACGAATTACGATAAGTCACGTGGTGACAACAGAGGCAATTACACCAAATTGACGACAATTTGTGTAACTGATTTGTAATCTATTGAAACTCGTAAAAAGCGTATTAAAAAGATACACGGGATGACACGCGACGATGACGCAAAGCACCTTTGATTGAAAACAGGTAATCGGAAAAAAATCAGAGCTAAAAGTGGAAACGGCTTTGTCAATTGATAAAACACAAAGGCGAACGAAATTGACAATGCAAACATTACAGGAAACGCCATGATTAGCTGTAATTCATTACGAAATGGACACACCCTGAACGAAACGCATTTCGAAATGACACATTGTGGTGAGCCGGGAATACGGTGTTCAATCGACAACTATACCTATGTCGAGACCAATGAATCCAACGCAAAAACCACTCGTCCGCTCTAATTGATGTATGTACTTGAAAACCCACTCATTAATCGGCACTCTACTAGTGTATGCGACCACGTAATTACACTGTTCAACGCAGTATAGTGCGATGGTAGTTACGTGCCTGCTGAGAATACATCTTTTAAATCTAAACAAATTTGAAAATTATATTGTTTAAAGTAACATTTTGTGTATGTACTTTGTTTTAACTTTGAAAATGAAATATAAATTATCAAACACGGTATAATATATAGCCTGTTGTCACATTCTTGATTTAATTCACGACACCGATGATGTTTTTATAAATTCGACGTTCCAACAATTCCAGTTTTTATTGTGTTGTACTTTGAAAAGGCTCGCAGCATGTCTGGTATTTAAATATCATACACTTATCTAGTGAAAAAAATAAAAAGTCATATCAACTTGCCAAATTAGTAAAATACAATACAGTGTGATATATAAATGTTGGCTCTGTGTGGTGCACTCTCACGTCAAATATATGTTCTCAGCGGGCCGATTTGGATTCCAACTGGCACGGAAACTTCCCATTCCACGTGATTGGCCTGTGCATGTCAGGAAGCGTTTCCTGTGCTTTAATTTCTCAATCCATTTTTGATAGCAATGTTTTCATCTTCGATTTTTTCAAACATCATTTAGACTCCCCGCGACTCGTTACAATTTCAATACGTCGATGTTTGTCATGATTTCGTCGCTGGGGGCGGCTGCTTTCATTGTTTTTGTTATTTCAGACCAGAAAAGAAAATTCCTTATCGGTTTACTTTGAAAACAGCACAATCGTGAACAGTCATCTCTAGAAAGCGCCAAGTCATTTACTAGCACCCGAGGAGCACGTTGTGGAGGCGATGATGCATACCGGCCTTTAGGGAGACAATTAACGAATGACAGTGGTGTTGGATGTGGCCAGTCTGTATCGCTGCAAACCGCCAATTCATTCTGCCGTGGGCCAAATATAGTCTTTTAATATCACTTTAAACTACGTGTCTTTGTTATATTTCAAGTTCAAAACGCAGTATGATACCACATAAGAACCATACATGTATTTGTATGATTTCAATATA